TGAGTTCCTCCATTTTGGCAGAAGAAAAACCTGAAGTGGGATCTTATCAATGCTTATAAATACCTAAAGATGGGAGTCAAATGGATAGGGCCAGACTCTTTTTAGTGGTGCCCAGCAACAGGATAAGGCACAAATGGAGCACAGGAAGTTCCATATGAACTTAAAGAGAAACTTCTTCACTGTGAGAGTGATGGAGAACTGGAACAGGATGCCTGGAAAGCTTGTGGAATCTCCTCCTGTAAAGGTATTCAAAACCTATTTGGATGCCTTCCTGTGCAATCTAGTGTAGGTAACTGCTTCAGCAGGGGTTTGAGCTCGATGATCTCTAGAGGATCCTTTCCATTCCCTACAATAGTGTGATCCTGTGAAATTTAGAATGTAGAACTAACTGGAAGTAATATCTTGAAAAAATTGAGTAGCTTCTGTTATGTGTCTGTCTTTCTCAGTAACAAGCATTCCTATCAAGATAAGCTTTTTTGTTTTGTTTTGTTTTTTTTTTTTTTTTTTTTTTAACATGAAATGTTCGGGATAAATTTGAACTTGATTTCTTCTGGAGCAAAAAGTTACAGAATGCTGTTCTGCAATTGGCTACCAGATAATTTTGATAGGGACAAGTGAAGAAGAGTGTCCTACACTTGGCCATGCAGCAGCTGGCTTTTTCCACTTGAAAACTGAGCATCTTACTGCCTTGTTAAAGCTAGCTATTAATTCCCTGGGAATTTCTCTTTCAACTTTGTGAGAAGCTAAAGTTCCCCCAGACATCTCTGACTTTTATTGTAGCTATTGAAGTGTGGGATAATTGGCACATAGATACATTTTCCAGTGACTAGCTTAGCTTTCTTTCATGTTTGGTAAACGTTATTAAAACACTTATTTTTGATAATTTATTTTAGATTTTAGAATGTTTTTTAAATGCTTTTTATTTTTTAAGAAAACTATGTAATTTTGCAATAGGCTACAAATGCTGGTCCTACATTAGTGCAATGCAGGTGATAGCTGTGTTCAGCAGCTTCTGTTTGATACTATAAAACTCGTTAATTAAGAAATGATACTTTAGAAAACTGTGATTCTAACCAACAACTCCAGAGTGATTTTGTAGTAATCCCCTCCGCAGCTGCTGATTGTAGATCTTATTTTCTTTACAACTCTTTCTGATGCGATTTCTACTACTTCTCAAAGCATGTAAATGAAAATAAGTTTTAACCTTTTGTTACTCTCTTTCCTTCTGATCATAAGATTTTCATGCTGAATTGTGTCTTGCTTAATTGCATTAAAAATGTGACATTTCTTAAATGCTTTAAAATCCATGCAAAGTAGAATGCAAAAGAATTCATGCATTCCTGTTATACTATATAACTGCAAAAAAAAAAAAAAAAAAAAAAAAAGTTTTAGATCTGAGACCAAATCAGCAATTAAAACGTCCAGTTGGAAGGAATTTCCGGGATATGTTTGATTCAGCATATCTGTGAGCCCGATTCATGGATTGGATCTAATTATTCTAAATACTTTGGAATAGAAGATGGCCTCCCTTTGTACCTTACTGTGAGGTCTTAAATGATTATACAGGAAGGAATACACAAGTACAAGAGCAATGTAGTCAGCTTTCAGTTGCTGTGTGTTGCTTAGCTCAGCTACGCTGTGCCACAGATGCAGAAACCTCATGTAGGCACCTGCTGTGGCTCCCTGGACCATGAGGGGTTGAGGAAGAGTGGAAAATCTTGCTCAGGATCAGGGAAAGAATCATCAAGTGTGACTTGATCCACCCAGACTTACTGATCCACTGAGCTTAGCTCAGTGCTGGAATTGGCTTACCTAAACTTCCAGTAGAGAAAGTTCTGCATTCCTGAAAAAATACTTCCCGCCTCTTAGGTTCTCAGGGATTTGTTAGTTTAGATAAGCTGTTACATGACCAGAAAACAGATTCGATTCTCCGCAGTGTAATTACTGTTACATATTGATGCTTTTTTATTGTTCTTTTTTCCATTTTACAAGTATGAAAAAAAAGGGGAGAGATTTAAGAGGAATTTGAGGTTTGTCTGGTAACCAAATGGATGCTTGTGCTGAGTCCCTTAAGCAGGAAAAGCAGCATGGGATAAGACATTAAAATGCTTGCCTGCAAACATGGCAAGCTGCTAAAAGAACGAGGACGTGGCAGCCTAACATTTGATAAGGGATAAATGGACTATAGTTTGGGCATATCATTGAGAACAAGTGTAAATTTTTTGTTTAATGTAGTAAAAGCCAAAGCATCTTAATCCAGAGGTGGGAGTTTTTGGCTTAAGGAAATAATCACTGGCAGCAGCATGCACACTGTGGCAGGCAGGAAGATGAATAAGCTTACTGTGTAATGCGCAAGTCAGAAGAAAGATGGAAAATTTATGGGTATTATGGAAAATTTAAGTATTAGGGTAAATTTAAGAAAAGTGAGGCAGAGATTGGATTGATGTAGTTATATTGAAGACATCAAACATGTGACTGCTCCTTTCAGGAAAAGAAAGTTATACTGCGAACTAAATAGCTAAAACAAATCAAGGCAGAGGTGTTGTTTCTACTCTTCTATTCATATCATTCTGGTTGTATTGAGTTACTCGAGTAAAATTGCTTAGAAATTCCTCTAGTTTGTTCTTGTGATGAAATTAGCACCACTGCTATGTTTCCTGTTTATGCACATGTTATGTTTCTATGTTCCATGTGTTTATGCACATTTACTAATGTAAGAGATGCTCTGCTGTGTCTCTAACTTAAGGTATAGGTCCTCAAATAGAGAGGGGTCTGTAGTAATGACTATTATATTGCTATTATCAATGTATCCGTAATTTTTCTATTTGACTGAAACTTTTTTTCTTAGTTTCACCACATGTAGATTTTTTTTGTAGAAGAAAAACTAGGAAGTCCAAAGGGGAATTCTGCCTTCTTCCTTGCCTTCCCCTAGTCCTGTCCAAAAGCTCCATCATGCAATTTTGTTCCAATGTGTTTGATCTTTATGGATGGAAGCATGTGGAAGGATGACTTGGGTGCAATGTCACTGATGATAAACTCCAAAAGATCTATTCTGCCACAGTTCATCAAATAGCAGTCTGTACTGCAATTTTTCCATTTTTTTCTTTCAACTTAAACACCTGCATCATTCCACTTAGCATTTAAGTTGTGACAATATCAAGAGTACAAAATGTGCTACTAATTGTGTGACTATAATCTATGCTGCCTACATAACGTTTGTTCTTCCTTGTGAAGTATATGCCTCGCATAGTCCAACTTCTGTTCCATTTATTTCAGAATGAACACCTGTGTAACAGTGAGCCAAACCTTGTCCACGGTATTTAGTTACATGACATTTTTTCCTCTGAAGGGAGACCCGTGACAGATCAGTGTGCATGATAGATAGCATTCAGTGAATGAGGCAGCTGCTTAATTTTTGTCATTGCTGTTCACTGCACAGTCCTTCTGAAATCCTGCATGTCGCAAATTCTTCCATTAATAAAAACTGCATACTTGTCCTGGAAGTTCTTTTTGACATAATTAAAGTGGCACAAATCTAAATTAACTTGCTGGAATATAATAACTCCATTTATTGGATGAGGAACTGAGATCTTTCTGGCCTCCCCAGATCAGGAAGGAAATCTGCATTAGAACAAATAATTGCAATTTATGAGCAGTCCAGACCAGTTTATTCACTTCAAATCTGCTGATTATTTTAAATCACATTTTAATTGGAATAATCAAGCTATCCCTTGCCATACAGATCCCGGACGCAAACTAATTTCACATGCTTTGTAGACTGTGAAAAGAGCAAAATGAGAATCCTGAAAAAGTTATATTATATCTGATCACATAATTTGATTGTGTTAATCCTGTACAGCACTCAGACTGTCAGACTTGACTATAAGTTTTATTTGTAACATTTTCTTTGTACTTTTGGGGGAGGATGAAGTGGTACAGTTGAAACTTGACTGAAGGATATATAGGTATAGGACTATAACAAATAATAAAGTAATAGCAATAAACAATACAGTTTGTGATTTTTTTTTTCTCTTTATGTGAGGCTTTAATACTCTTCCAAAACTCCATGAGTTAGATAGCCAAGAAAATGACTTCGTAGACTAAAGGAGATGGTACAATTTTAATGAATATATAATTAATGGTTAATATTCTTGTTAAGAAAATGGTTTCTATAGTAACTGCTGCAGATTGTCACTTCCTCTGGCTTTTGGAATACTACCAAAATGAATGTAACACTGATGATGTGAGGTACAAATCTTATGAGAGCTGCAATAGATTCCTGCTAAGAGAATGCTTTATTTGGTATCAAGGTGAATGAATAAAGCAGTCCAATGACCATAGATGCTGTTTAAAGACTAGTTTTCCCTACTATTTGTTCTATCCAAAGCTCTGCATGTATTTGCTCTTCTCCTTCCAGCTGGAAACTAGCAAAGGCAGACAAAATGCTTAGGCATACTTAAGGATTTAAGATGCAATGTGATTGTGTGTCTGTTCATTGATCTTAAAACCTCTGAAGAGATTCACTGTGTGTAATTTCTGACTAATAGAGAGAGTCAACATGGGCAAATGTGTATTGCTTAAATTTCAAAACAAAGCTTATGTGAGTTTTAAAGGGTCTGCTCCTCTTACTTTATGTTAGCCATGTGTTGCTTCTCTGGATCATGGTGAAAGGAGATTTCTCTTATTAAGGTGTGTATTTGCAAGTGAAATGGACAATCTCAGTGGCTATATATTTTGTTTCAATGTATGTCTGCATCTATTTTTGTTTTCCACTTGAACTGAGACTGCATCCGGCAAGCTCATTGTCAAGTGAGAGCTGAAACTTTTTTAAGGGGAGGGGAAAATGCTTCAGAGGAGAGAGATCTTTCTTTTTAGCAGCCACTCTGGTATTAATCTAATAGAAAAAGAACTTTTTTTCTTTTTGCAGGTTTATGGATATGTATGCAGCATGTCCATACTTGGGGATGTTATAGAAACTTCCTTGCTATATTTCTTTCCAGATGGATGAGATCAAAGGCAAAGATAGAGTGATTCTGGCTCTGGAGAAAGACCTTGGCATTCAGGCAGGACATACACAGAAACTCCTCCTTCAGAAAGAAGCTTTGGATGAGCAGCTTGTCCAAGTGAAGGAGGCAGAGCGGTACCACAGCAGCCCCAAGAGAGAACTTCCTGCAGGAGTGGGGGACATCACCGAGTTGATGGGAAGCCCGGTAAGAAAATCCTGTCTCCTTCAAATGGCCAGCATAGGGCAAATATTGCCTATGTATTCACATTGATTTTGTGGTTACTTATAAAACGCTAAAAGGCTTGATTCACAGTAAGTGGTCTAGAACTGCATGTAGTGTTTTGCTCGTGAGTGAGAAAATCCTTGGACATCTTCAGTTTCAAAGAATGTTGAAAAATAGGTGAACACAGAACTTTTAAAGCTTACATGACGAGCTTCAACCATGAACTTGTTATCTGTGATTAAAAACAGCCCTTCTTTGTCTAGAACCCCTCTATTTTTCTAGAGTTAGTTATTTCATAATTTTAGAAATTATGTACTATCCTTTTCCAAAACTGTTCCAAGTGCTTTTAGCCTATGCAATACGCACTAGATTTCTTCTAGCTAATGGTTATAAATCATGCTAGAATTTACAAGTCATGAATGAATTATTTATACCTAGCTTTTTAAAAAAATATCATTAACTCTTTACATACATCTGTCAAGTAGACCCCTTTCAGGTAAGGTATCATGTAGCATTTACACAGGATGTTGCTGTTTAGTCTTTCAGTTAATTAAAATAAGTTTTCCAAACACTGATGTAAGAGTCTACTTTAGATTTATACAATCTACTTGCTAAAGCATGATATTACATTTATGAATTGTCTTTTTAAAGATAATTTTATATATCTATATGTCTTTGATGCAAAGGAGCAGCATTTGGATGAACGAGATGTGAGGAGATTTCAGTTGAAAATCGCTGAACTGAATGCTATGATAAGGAAGCTGGAAGACAGAAATACTCTCTTAGCAGATGAAAGAAATGAACTGGTAAATTAATTAGTAATAACACAGATGATGACTGGGAGGACATTTTTATGGTAAATGAATTAATGCTGAAAAGTCAGTGTTATAAATAATTTACAAATTAGACCTGGTTGGACACAATCAATTATACATGAAGATAAGAGATTTTTCTATGGATATTTACTTTGTCACCATAGACAGGGATGGAATCTCTTTTGTTTCAGAGAAATAAAGCTTTATATATTTATTTTGGGGTCATTGTAACTGAATTGACTGTTAGTTTGCCTGTGGCACTGTCTAACGATGTTGTGTAAAACATGCATAATCCATGCCCTTAAATTACTGTATTAATCTTGGTAATAGGCAAATTGAACAATAGTTTTGTGACATGCTTATGCTAGCTGAGAATTAAAAAGTGTTTTTGGTCTGGAGATGTGAAATCTGCCATCTTTCTCAAGGCAAGTCTCTTAAGTAGGTGAAAATATCCTAGGAGAATGATAGTAACTTATTAAAGAAAGGCTATGAATTTTAAGAATGAATTCTATTAGCCTGTGTTGCTACTTAATTGCTTGTAATGAGATTAATGGGAAAACTCCCATGGACTGTGAAACTGAGTTTTAACAATATGCATTCTTATATGTGTCCTATTATAATGCACTGTTCCTAATGGAAATAGAAAGGATTTTTCATTTTAAGTAGAATTAAGTAGAATTTTTCTTTCATGCAACCTGTGTTTCTGATTCAAAAGTAATGCTATTATGTACGGTGAGGGCACAATTTCCTTCCAGTACATTGAGTGCAGCATTGGCCTGTTCTTACTCTTTGTTGGACTTAGTTTTTCATATTGAGATCAGAGGATTTATTTTATGATAAAGGGACTTAATTTAGTTGTGATAACTTGATGATTATCAAAACTAATTTTTGAAACTTTCTTTTCCAAAGTCTTGGCTGAATCTAGACTAGTGAAGTTAATTGAACCATAATATAGTAACACTGGATGACTTGAGAGTGTAATTGTGAATTTTAGAAGAACAACATAAAACAAACAACTCCCCCTCCCCAGAAACAACTATGTAAGAACACACTTTTTAACCGGGATGCTGTTAGTGATTTTCACTACTTTGCCTAGATGCTGGGTAGTGTGCTGCTTTTTTTTTTTGCTTTTTTTTTTTTTCTTTTTCTTGTTCTGTTTTTATTTTTTTTTTTCTTTTTCTTTTACCAGTACAGTTGCTTTCCTCTACTCTGTACTTACAAGAACATCATGCTTTCTTTCAAGGTTGCATTATTAAAGACAAGATAATTCAGCCTCCTAATCCTTTCTGTGGACATAAGTCAGTCAAAACATCCCTGAAGAATGCTAAAGTACTGCAACATCTTTACTGCAGTGTCCCTCTAAATGGAAGGCATGTATGACTCAGTCAAAAGCTCTTCTTGATGCTTGACTTTGAGGTTTCAGAAACATAGTTAGGAATTTTGTCATATTTTGAGACAATACTACATAAAACTAGTGATATCAATAAGCTCCTGTGATTAAGCACTATGTGGAAAAAAAAAACAAAAACAAAGAAAACAACTCAAGGACTAAAGAAACAAAAGTGGTGAAATACTAAATACACACAAACACAGGAAAGAGCAGTAATTTGTTTCATTCAGTTGTCTAATATAATAAGACCACAGGAGCAAAGCTGAACAGCTTGGAAATGTCAGCAGAATGCTGAGATTGAATCTGTGCCCTCTGGCTGCCTCTTGTATTGCTCTAATTACACACTAGGTATAGGTTTTTCAAAGTAGAGCAGGAAGCGTTTACTAAAGGGTAGTTAAGTTGGTGAAAGATGATGACCCTATATATATACTGGCTCACAAGAAACTTATGTATAGCAAGTTTAGTTTATCAAGAAATCACTTTTACAGATCTTCATAAATGTTTTGTAAGAAGCAAAATCCAAGGACCAGAGCTATTTCTTATTTGCTTGGACTCTTGTAGTTCTTAGTACAGAAGTCTGTACCAGATGCTACTTAAGAAAAGAACTAAACTTTCTAATGAATGGAAAGGGCAAGAGAATACTCACACATTTATTCTTTCCTAAAACTATATACTAAAGCACAGCTTAGCTTCTTCCTTTGCCAATTGCAGCTGAAACGTTCTCGGGAGACAGAAAGTCAGCTAAAGCCTTTGGTCGAAAAAAATAAGAGGATGAGCAAAAAAAATGATGATATGATGCAGTGCATCCAGAGAATGGAAGAAAAAATAAAAAATCTATCAAGGGAAAATGTAGAATTGGTAAGTAATAATTTCTGATATCGTGTTATAAGAGAACTCAGGTACTTGGAGGTGGAAATGCTCGTGAGGCTTTTTTTTCTGATAGGCATTTCAGAGTCTCAACAATGGGATGATACAGCTGCCCGAGTCAGCCAATGCAGCTGAATATTCACAATCTAAGTACAGAGTGGTATTCCTTTGTGTCACTGAGTTGTATCAGTTTGCCCTCATTAAGGAAAAGGATCATGAGTAGATAAAGATATATTTGGATACTGTAAATGTACAACTGAAAATCAGCTTTATGAAAGAATGTTGTTTTTTTTTTTCCTGATTAAAGGTCAAAACAGACTTTAAGTATATTTGCCAAAGTCTCTACTGCTATAGGATGTCAGGCTGCCTGTGCTGACTTTTTTCCAGACTATGTTCTTTGATTCTGTTCTAAAATGTTTTATGTGAAGTACTAACACTAAGGAATACGGCATATTTATTTAGCTGGTGAAAGAGGCCTTATGCTGTAGTGGAATATGAATGAGTCTGAAGAATTATAGATTGCTACATCATGCACCAGAATTCTCTTATGTTTATGGAAAGATAATTTAAATATTCTTTGTGTTTAATAACAAATTTTATTTTAACTTTTGTAGAAAGAGAAATTATCTGCACAACCAGTGCTGAAGAGGCACACATCTTTAAACGATCTTAGCAGCACACGGGATGAACAAGAAATTGAATTTCTTCGACTGCAAGTCAAAGAAAAGCAGCATGTTATTGATGATCTCACAGTGGTAATACTTCTCATGTCTGGTGCACTCATGTATGCATATACATTGGTAGGCAAGCTGAAGATTGGAGAGCAATATTTTAACTCCAGTTGTAGTAATGGCATAGAAGAAATTCTTTGGCATTGAACTGTTCTTGTTATTTCCCACATGTTGAATGAATTTCTTTGCAGTGTGTATGTGTTTATCAATTATGGACTGCTTAAGGAAAGAGGTGCATCAGTCCATTCACTTTACTTACAAAACTGAATGTCAGCAACTGAGGAGCCTGGAGGAAAGGACACATTCCAGAACTTAATAACTGAAACATGTTGGGTATAGATCCTGCTGTAAACTCAACTACTCATTTGACCTAGAATTTCTCCTAAAACAAAGGAATGTATAGAATGACATTAATTCCACCTAACTGAACTGCCCACGCTCTGTTCTTACAGCAAATAGAAATATATATGATTCATTTTACCAAAGGTAGCATTTTATTACAACTGCACAGTTGCTACCGTCTGACTGTGAAAAGTACTTAAGATTATGCTCATAGGTTTTTGCACTGCTTGGGACTCATTTCAGCTGCACTAGAAGTGCTTAGTATTATTTTGGACACAGGGACACACCATTCAGGTGCTGGTGGCAGAAATTACATACCATCTCTGAGAGTCATGTGCATCTGGAGCAGCATCTGGAACTCGGACTGTTCTATGGCATCTGAAATAGCACTATGAAAGCTACATAATGATGAAACAAATTTGAGCCCTTTCTGTCTAAATAAGAGATTAAACAATCAGAACACTCAAATTAGAAAATAAAACAGAAAATAAAAATAGAAGATAAAAATTTTAAACAATATGATGTGTTATTACTTGGTCTGGAACTCTATTCTTGGCACTTCGCCCCAGATTTTGACCAAGGATTTCTCTCTGTAATCTTGCCAAAGATGTCTGTGTGCATTGCCCAGTGTTATGAGCGGTGGGATGTTATCCAGACACCAATGCTGATTCACAGAGAGATGCTTCTTTACCTTCAAAATACAGCTCTACAGACAGGGACTATCTCATTACATTAAATTCCCAATATATGCAGGTATAACCTCACCTATATTTCACTGTGAAGAGGATGTGACCCAGTAATTTGAGGTAATATATTGTAACCTAACTTTGGTCAACTAATATTAACTATATTTAGTGTGAAAATAAGATTAATAAGCATTGCAAAATATGGTCTCATATTTGGTTACTTCTTATCCTCTGTATGTCGTTTAGCTGCAGAAATAAGTGAAATTGTAAGCCAGTGCACTGCTTTGCTTGTTAGTACAAACTAATTGATGCTTTGCCTTCAACATGAATGCAAGGCACTCTGCAGTGCCATTGTGCTTTTCAGCTATATTTTCTGGTTCAATTCTTGCCTCAGGAAAATACAAATGAATCAAAAAGAATGACCCACGTCGCATACCTGATTAACACAAAAGTCATCATCTTAACTACAGCTGAGTACAGTATGATACCCACATAAAAGAAAGATAGTCGACAGCAATAAGGCTGTCTGAATTGATTTACATTGTCAGTTCCAGAGTATCTTTGATGCTGTTGAAGACCTATCAACTTGAGTTCTCCCATAACCATGGTTTCTTGGCCAGTTCTTAAAAGGAAAACTGTCAGAATAAACTCAGATGCTTACAAAACACACAAGTGATTCAGCAGATAGTTTTTCTTTAATTGGTGTTATTTTAGTTCTGATGACTTGAAGTAATATTGCGACAGAAAGTAGATTGAGCAGCCTTACAAAATATCAGAAAAAGGAAAAGTCAGGGTATTTAGGAAGAGTTTGTTTAATTCTGCGGAGGTGGAAGAGGAAAGAGAAGGAAAGAGAGAAAGAATATTTCATTTCTCCAATAATTTGAACAGCAGCCTGGGATGCCTGAGACCTGTTGTTAAAGCAGGGACTGTGCCTTAACTCACTCTCTGAGGAGTGAACACTGTTCTTCTACATCTTCTAAAATGTAGCTTTGTGTTTACAGCTTTAACTTAATGCGTTATATTTTCCTATACTGTGAGATATCTTCAGTCTATCTTGGCGGTCATTACTTTTCCATATTTTGAAAGCCATGTGTATTAAAGGTGCTATAAAAATTTCTGAATTATTTCTTTTTTTCCAAAACTTCTTTATTGGAACAGTGCACTTATAAAATGAGTTATTTTATTTTGATTTCTACTTGGAGCTTCCCATTCAGTTTCTGAACTGAATGTATAATGAATAACTCTGAATAGGAAAATATACTGTGAGCAATGACTGCTAGAGATGAACTTGCAGCTGCTATTGGTCTTTTAAAAGATGCAAAGATGTAAAGCTAGATAGATCACCTGCTGTCACCTTCCCTTCCCCCTCTCCACAATCTCTGCATTTCTTACATTCATTTTGAATTTTTAAATTTAAGACAACATTCTTGCGCTTGAATGTTTGTAAACCAGTATTTTTCATAAAGTAGTAAAGTACAATATTGTTCCATGGCCATGTTAGAAACTAGATGCAGGCTAAGGCCTGATTTCTCTTGATGAAAAAATGCCTTTTTTCCTTTTTTGCCTATTTATCCCTATAAATTACACATAACACTGTATCTGGCTGAGATTCTTTTTTGCCTACCAACATGCATCTTCAGGACGATTGAATGTTGGAATGAGAAAGATAATTCTGTTTCCATAGTGAGCCTTTCGGTAAAAGTGTCAAAGGAACTGCCAGAAATCTGTGCCCAATATTTAGCAAAGCCTTTTCCTGCCAACTTCCAATCAAGCGTGTAAAGTGTGTGGCTGAATGTTTATTTGCTAAAGGGATACAACTGCAGTACAGTGTGGTGTGACACCAACATGGTGTAGTCTGAGGGAATAAAGACGTTGTGTTTGTGTTGGCTTTACCTCAGCTTTCAAGAAACTTGTTAAATTTCTTTGTGTTAAACATATTTATCTATATGTGTATTTCAGAAGAAATCTACACCAAAATGTTATCTTTTCTTTTAGGAAAGGGAACGGCTATTGCGATCGAAAAAACAGAAGAAGAAAATTCTGAAACCTCAAAAGGTGAGCAAACCTTCATTTTCTGTGCATTCTGGTTGTTGTGAACAGCAGATATTCAAATACTACCCAAAATTAGAGTTCTATTTAAATTAATGGTAGAATTTCATGTAACTCTCCTGTTTTCTTTTGTTGTTTATTAACTTTTTCCTAAGGACAATGGAGGAGCTCTAAGATTTGAACTGTGTTTAAGCTTGTTTTCAAAGCATAAAAAATCATGTTTTTAGCCACTGTGACCTACATGTTCAAGTGGCTTGAGGCCTACAAGATATAATGATTTGAAGTGTAATTTTACAGAAAATACAGCCCTTTAAAGTACTTGCAGAAAGTTATTGCTTAATCACAACTGAAAAATTTAGCTCATGCTAGCTCATGCTAGGGATGAAATGATATTTCTGTAGGTAAAAATAGAAAAAATATATGTAACTATTTTTCTCTAGTAACTACTTTGCTCTAGAGTGCAAAGTGAAAAAAATAGGATTCAGAAATTGAAACTTTTGTTTCAAACCGTGCCTTCAGTGCTTATTTTAATGTGTTTTAAAGTAATTGGTTTTGCTGAATACTGTTTTATTTTTGCAAAGCTGAACATTAACAGCCTGGAGCATGTGACGGGAGGAGAATGGGATAGGAGGGAAAAAATGGAAGTGAAGAGTGGGGAGGTTATTATCAGGTATACGACAGTATAAGATGCATGCTTTTGTAAATGAATATTACATTAGTTTTCAGTGTTCAGCGCCGTGTACTTCTGATAACCTCCAGGTGATGCATTTTTATAGCTCTGTGTTCTATGTACTCTGAAAGAATTATCCCTTCCTGTTCTCTGAGTTGGTGATAATTCTTCAAGTGATACTTCTAATAGTGATGTGTCTTTGTCATATAAAGAAAGAAAAATTCAGATATGATGATAAATCTTGCATATCTTCTACTTTTACATAATGTAAGGCTGATAGAGGCTGAATGTATTTTTAGTAAGCTAACTATTTTTGCTTGTTGTACTGTATCCAGGAGTTTGTCTGTTGTGAACAATTTTAAAATAGGACTTTCTGCATACGATGGGTTGCTCCAAAAGTAATGCCTCCCATCTTTTATGTTGGCCCAAAATATCAGAGGCAGATGGTGGTATGGCAGTAAAGGGTGGACCTTCCTAGCAATATTCTGTTACATTTTGTTGCCATGTGACAGATGGCAGCAGAGGGGCAGTCTGACAAAATGGCGCTTGATACAGAAGTGTGGATGAAGCAAAAGCGTGAAACTGAATTCTTCCAGAAGGATAAATTTATTACGTGCCATTGAATATTATGTGTGATTTGGTAATGATGGCTGCTTTTATGTGAAGGCAGAACTACAACGCATAATTTTGAAGGGTATTAAAGTAAGCTAGGCACAGCTAATCTGTCATTATATCTTAGTATCAAATCGTGTAAGTTTGCTCTTTTGCTGTACAGTTTAAGATCAAATTGTTATTCCTCACTCTGATTCTCCATAGAAATATACTGAGTTACAGTTGGAGTTGAGATTTTAACCGAAATAAAAATAATAAATCTTCAAAACCTATAAAAACCACCACCAGTGAAAAATCCAGCCCTTCTACCATCCAAAACCCCTTAATGTCCAACTATCTTCTTTCACTTTAATCTTAGGGTTAGGGTTAGGGTTAGGGTAACCCTAACCCTAATCAAGGCTACTGCCAAATAATATACTTGTAAATGCATTTTAACATTCCATACCTTGTTTTTTTAATCACTGTTATAAGCCGAAGAAATTTCGTTATATTTTTATTATCTAGGGGCAACATAGCTTGAATCTACATAGGCAACTGTATTGAAAAGCTTTAAAATTTAAAGCATTTAAAATCTTCTCAAAGATCTTCTACAAAATGTTCTTTGTTTTAGTTGTGCCTGAATAGCTTCTTAGTTTAGCAGGAATTTCAAAAAGTTAGCTCAGGTCACGAATTTCTCGTTTTTTTTCATGCAGATCACATTTCATGAAGGGAGAATCAAAATGGTTTGAGTCTAGTTAGGTGCTAAATCAGAAAGATAAATCAAAATCCTCAAGGCTATGTAAATTTCCTGCTCTCTTTTACTTACTATATCTATGTAGAACAGATTACTCACCCAGATGTCCTGTGGGGATTGTATCATCTCAATTTTTACAGCCTGTGTCAGTAATTGAATTGAAAATTGTAAAATTCATCAAATCAAATGCTATGTCAAAAGTCACTAACAGTGGTGAGATATAGACATCTCACTCTGAGTGTACCTTACAGAGCTGTAATGTTTTGATTGCTCTCCTCTGGAAGCAGGTACCTAAACAGGACATGTGAGTTTTGTCTTGAAAATATCTACTTCTCTCAAATGACTGTGTTCTCTCAAATGCAGTCTAAGATGAATTACTTTCTATAGAGACATGAACAGTGAAAGTGTACTTCAGTCTATGATCTGTGTGAGATTTTTACATCCTACAGATGATAACCTATATATAGCAGTAGAAGAAGTTATGACTGTATCTGTCCTGCCAACCACTCAGAAGGAGAAATTACTGATGTAAACTCTTGGCTTTGCTTTTCTAAGATTTGTTAAATGTGAAATTTTGAGCATTAACATGCATCATTAGCACCAATGAATTACCAGGTTTGGCTATTGGAGTTGGATCTGTTTCCAGAGCTGTGACTCTCCTTGATAATGTGGAAAAGGAAATAACTGATGACAATTAGGTTTCATGACTCTGGTCAGATAAGCTTATATTAGAATGTGTAGAAGGTTCATTTTTTTTCTTCTAATAACCAGGAACTAAGAGCACAGGTGGGACACTATGAAGGTGATGATGCACTGGCACAAGCTGCCCATAGAATCTGTGGATGCCCCATCCCTGGAGGTGATTAAAGTCAGGTTGGATGAGACTTTTTGCAACATGGTCTATGTTGTCAGCAACTGGTTGGCAATGCAACAGGTCTAGTGGTTGGCAACCCTGCCCCCATGGCAGCATGGATGAAAACTGGATGGTCTTTAAGCTTACTTTCAACCCAAGCCATTCCATGATTCCATGATTCTCTTTTACTCCTGTACTGTTGCAGTTTTTACTGAAAGGGGTATACACTTATAATCTAGCTTCCTTAATTTTTGTGATACTCTGATTAGATAATGTCCAGTATGTGGACATTTCTATTACAAGTATTTTCCTAACAGCTATTCCTGCTAGGTATAACAAAATCCACGGCATAACTTTGTTGGTCTTTAAGATTTGTGTGAATGATCTGTCAAGGCTAATCCAGTAGCCTTTGTAGCCCTACTGTGTCTAAATAATGTTAGTTCAGCTGTAAGGCTTTTGGAAGTACTAAGGATTTAAATGTTTTGTTTTACAATCAGATATCTATGTTATTTCTGGAGTACCATAATTGCACTAGGTTACTGTTGCTAGTGTAGCTTTAACTGAGATTTCTTGCAATTACCAAGGGACACAGGTGCCCATAGGAGAGCACTGGCAAACAGCTCAGATGCCCCTGAGGAAAGGAGCAGCACAGCGGGATGGGACTTTACAATCTCTGTTGATTGTGTTTAGAGGAGTGAGTAATATAATGACTGTGGATATTCAAGTACTGTAGGGTATTTTTCTCTGAAGGAAAGCCTAAGAAAATGGAGTTGTTTTTTTTTTTTGTTTGTTTGTTTTTGTTAATGTGTCACTTGTTAGGAGAAAGACGTACAAGATGTGAATCTTCTTTTCCTTCCCTTTTCATGGTGTTTTCTTTGCCTCCCGCAGCCCTGTTCTGGAATTGATATAACGAAGGAAATCTGGAAAATGTTGTTTTTTGTTTGTTTGTTTTGCACCCAAAGAATGGAATTCTATGATTCCATGATTGATAATGTTATGCTTTCGAAAATAAAGCATCATTGCTCAGTTTCTTTGGAAACAGCAGGTCTCTACAGACCTGATTTTTTACTTAAACTTTAAAAAATAAACTGCATTTGCAACAGGGGAAAGCCTGCACACTGGTGTGATGGAGTTCATATTTCTTGTTTTATACTTTTCTTTTTTTATCTGCCTCTGTACTTTGGTGTGCCTGTATTTTTCTGGCTGCCAAGAAATGACATATAAGCATGAAGGTAAGAAGTTACTGCTTAGTTCCTCTGATTGAATTGCAGGGAAATTCATCCTGATAATTTTAATCATGTTAGATTAATTTATTGAAAAACTGGATATTTGGCCATGAAACTGCTTTAGAAACCCAGCAATCAGATTACCATTAAAAATGTGAGGGTATCTTGAAATATGCATACTATATATTCTATGTCTTGCTCTGTAACATTCTGTAACATTCCAAACTTTTATATTTACTAGTACTGTGCTCCAGTAGGAGATTTAGTACTGGAGTTACAAAAGCCTAATGCATAATTTTACTTCAAAATTATGTGAAGGAATTTATATAAATTCACATTAAAAATACTTTCTATCAAATATGTGAGAGTAGTCAGAGGAAATTAGAATTCAGATCAGAATTCTTCAGCAACTGATTTGACTTTTCTCAGTTATGATTTAGAAGTAACAATTGAATTCACATATCAGTATAAAAGCATAATTTGTTGAGAGCTTTCCTGCTTCTTAAGAAAAGCTTGAATAAATCTTCAATGAAAACCATGTAGTTACCAAAATCCAGTGAGTATTGTACATGTGCACATATTCTTTTCAAGAGCCATTGTGATTCAACTCTTAAAGCTATACGTGGAAACTCCCTATAAGGCAGGGAAGTGTTAATCTTAAGTGCATCTGGCAGTTCTGCTGCTCACTGCACTAGGATTGCAGAGCTTCCTGTAGGACAGAGCAGTAACGGACCATTATAGGTTTTTAATACAACAGCTACACTCCCTGTGACTATACCCAACAGTAATGCTAGTGGGTTAGTAGCTTACAAAAATAAGATTGGTTTCTGAAGACTGTTCTAAAGCTTTTGTCTACCCATATAGCATCTGGTTTATCTGTATGTCTGTGGATGGACATACAGATTTGGAGAACAAGTGACTTCTTTTTTGAGTGCATAGCATCCTTTCTGGAGCTTTTCGTAAAATCAGTTAGTTTACAAGTCAGTTTGAATTATATTTTTAATTGTTATCTGGTATTCTCATCTCAAGGAAAGCAATTGCTTAGGACATGGCCTTGAGACTGACCAGTAGTGTGAGTGGGATCAGCTGCATGTGAAACAATTATAGAGCTGTTTAGCTAACAAATGATGAGAGCTAGGACTGGTAGACCATGGTAACCTGGTGAGATGGACCATGGAGGACCAGAGCTGCAGGCTGTAAGTGCAGTGTGCGTGTAAATGCAGGCACCAACGTATCCCTCCCAGCTTACTTTGAGGTTACATCCGAATAGGTACTGCAGTCCTCCACTGTGAATCTTGTGAATCAGATCTTTATGACTTTGGAAATTAGTATTTATGTTTGTGCTAAAGCATTACTTTACTAACAATTTCCCACTACTACTTGGAGTTCTGCCTTAGCAAACAGCGATGGAAAGGTAACTAATTCAATGGAACAAGAGTTTACACGGGTTGTTCTTCTTCCTGAATGGTCAGAGAAGATCTTGACTGCTGTTTACTGGGTCATTGGGGTTTTCTAACTGTTTTGCTAATAACTGAGGAAAACTAACTTTTCAGAGGCATGTTGTGGAGACATTTTTTGGATTTGATGAAGAATCCTTAGACTCAGAAACATCATCTGTAACTTCATATAACACAGATAAAACAGACAGGACACCAGCCACACCAGAGGAAGATTTGGAAGATGTAAGTAGCAGATTATTTGTTCTTTAACTTCTACTAAAATTGGCACAAAATATAATAGCAACCATTTTAGCAGCTACAAAACAAAAAGCTTTTTGTATGAAAGATTTTGCAGAGAATTGTTTTGTTCTGTTTCAAGTCCAATTTTAAACCCCACAGTCACTGTAATAAAATAAGATTCTGCCTGTTAGATTTGGTTGATACTGAGCTGAGAAACAAAGCATGTTGCTTTGCCTAAACTAGACTTCAGTTTGCCTTTTGGCTTTATAATTTGACTGCTTTTATACAACCATGATTTTTTTTTTCTGTTTTCAAGATACTGAGAGAAGCTTTTACAGTTCAGTGAGGCTTAAGTGATTATAGGGAGTAAATATCCACTGTCATGTTTTGTCTGAGCTCTGTGACACATGCTGCAGTTGACCTGCTTCAGAAGATTGCAGAGCTGAGGATAAAGATTGAACTAAATTCTCTTTCATCTATCTGTCCTATTTGCTAACTTATGACTTCCATTATTCACTTGTAATGGGCTTCCTATTTTTCTAGCTTTAATATCTAGTAATATTTTAATTTCTTTTCCTTGTATCTTGACTTCCAGGAGCAAAAACTAATTAAAGGACTTTTCTTGCCCTCAGCATTATAGAAAAGATCTTGAAATTGTTGATGTCAGTTTTTTAAAATTCTAAGCAACTTCAGATGTTAATATTACTGGAAAAAAAAACCAAAAAGGATCTTAATGCTACTGAGATGAAGCTGCTGCGATAGTGTGCTTGTGCCGGTCAAGTTCTTTATGCTGGTGTGGACTGTGTGACAAGTAGGATTTATACCTTGTGGCTCTGGAGCTGATGAAGAAAAGTGATAAACGCAACTGTTTCATGTCATGGTTTCTCAGTCAGTTTCTTGAAATTTCTATGTATTACTGCTTTATATAGCAGCTGACACTGTCCTGCAATTTTAAGGTGAATGTAGCTGCTGAGCTCTGCATTTCTCATTCATTTTTAAACCATTTTTCCTTACATTTCTAGTCATGTCATTTTTCTTACAGCTTTCTTGAAGTTTGAAACTCAGACGAGTTGTGTTACTTGTTGTGTCTCTATAGATACAAAAATATTATTTGCATTTATTGTTACGTACACAAAAACACCTGTTTTTCCTCTTCGCTAAGAGCACACCTAAAGAAGAAGCTGAACTAAGATTCTGCCAGCTAACAAGAGAATATCAAGCTTTGCAAAGAGCATATGCATTGCTTCAAGAACAAGTTGGTGGAACCCTGGATGCAGAGAGAGAAGCAAGGGTAATTATTTTAATTGCAATTCCTTTTATCTCTGAAATATTTGGAAAAGCTGAAAAAATTTTGCACAGCAGGATATGGTAGCATTACTACAGCTACTGTTAGATTTTGATTTCAGAGGCACTGATGTACTTGAAAATTGTGAGACCATTGCATATTGCCTCTGCCTTCATGGGAAGAAAGGCAATTATATGAATACTTTTGTTATAGCTTTTTAAAATTATCTTTTACAAAATGATTTCTCCTTCTTATTAATGACATTTTTGAGGGAGTTGAAGATTTTCAGAAGGTAGCTTTTTGCATGGTTAATTTTGCAAGGCACGCTGTTCTGGTGTTCCTTCTACTTTTGGATGAGGCTTAAGGTAAACAACAAGGACCTGAAGATGCAGAAAGAAATCCTTATGGAAATTTTTGAACTGCTTAGGTGAAAAAGTAGCTGAAGTTGGATAGGAAGAATAATTGTAGTAGCTCAAGGATTCTCAGTAACTGAGAATCTCCAGAGATCTTGCCTTTTGTACATCTTTTGTTTATTTACTTGTATGATTCAGTCTCTTTTAGGGCATCTCTGAACGTGGTGGGTGGATGGTTTAGAAATTGTATAGAAAGAGGAAAACGCAGTGGTGTTATGCAATCAAAGGGTAAATGCATTATTTTGGGTCAATATATTTTATTTTCGTATAGCTCTTCAAATTGTTTAACTGTTAGGAGCTTATTCAGTGTTTACTGCAATTCTGTCTTGCACTTTTTTCCTTCTGTCTTCCACTTTTTTCACGAACAGCTTCCTATGACGAACTATGAAGAACTATTTCAGTTCCTAACATTATTTTTTTTATGAGGAGAGCTTGATCACAGAATATGTATAGACTAGAGACGACATACACTAGGAGTGAAAAATACTCTGAAACTGATGTCTTTAAATATTTTTTTAGCATAAACTCAAAAGCATTTATTTTAATGAGAAGCATTAAAAGCTGATTAGATGATCCAAAAGAGAGTCAATTTCATTCCATATGTGATTAAATATGCACTTTATAATACAATTTTCTTTTTTCCTCAGACTCGTGAACAACTGCAAGCTGATCTTCTCCGATGTCAGGCAAAAATTGAGGACCTGGAGAAAGCACTAATTGAGAAAGGCCAGGTAAAATGCTCTCTTAATGTCCTCTACAACATCATTTTCTCTCTTGCATGCAGTGGTGCCCTTGCCATCTTCATTGCTTGCTGGTGTGTTAATGTCTCCGATGCAGTTTAATTACTACTCCAGCAGTGGATTATTTAAAGGAAAATGGTATTTATGCTAACCACCAAAGATTCTTTTTTTAATACATAGTACAGTCAGTGTAATAGAGAATTATCCACATATACATGCATTCTAAATTCTGTTCCTACTGTCATTCAGTGTAGTTTTCTCTCTTTTCTGTTTTGTCTTTGCTATAAATTCCAACAAGATGAGTATTCTGTATCATAGAATATTTTGGTGTGTAACACAGGAAAATTTAGAAGAAAAAAATTAACTTCCCTGTATTCTGGAGCAATAAACTGCCGAGTGTATCTGGCCACTGGAAGCCACTTGCTGTGTAAACTCTTCTGAGCTTCATTTCTTGGAGGACACAACAACTTTCAAATTGCCATAACGTCACACAGAGTAAAATTGGGCTTCTCTGCACCTTGTAAATAACTGCAAAGATCTGGCTAATGCATATTCAGTGCATATTTAATAATATTTAGGATAGTCAGGAAGACTGATAGGAGAATGAATGGTGGATTTAAAAGATGTTCAGATGCATAAGTGCTAGAACACACAGAAAATTGGATGTTATTTTATCATTTCTTTATTGTTTAAAATAACAGCTTAAGATTGCTGGTAGTATATGGCAATAAAATTGGGTTAATTATCTGTAGATAAACATTTTGAAGACTAATAATCCTAAAGTACCAAATGAAAGCAACCTACAAATTATGTCAGGTTAACACTATTGATATTTTTATAGTTTCTATATCGTTTATAGTTCTATATAAGAAAACTTTCTGTAAGTTTCTGTATAAATTTGAATGCTTGGGAACCGTATTTAAATTGATAACATTGATAAAAACTGATAAAAATTGTTTATGCTCACTTCCATACCAACTGCAATTTGCTTAGTAAATTCTATGTAAGTAAAATATTATTAAGGAATATGTTATCAATATAAAAATGATGACTTGTTGAGGTTTTGGAGGAATAATTGGAACTGAAAACCTCATGAGGATCAACTACGTTTTCATGTGTTGATGATAATGGTGATGTAGGCAAATTGCTGTGTAAATGAAAATAACAACAAAATAATTGACTATTACAGTGTAAAATACAAGCAGTATGTGTGTAAACATGACAAGAGAAAATGGATACACATGCAAGAAATTACTTCTGAGACTTGTTTCTTGAATGGCAATATGAAAAATAAATGTCTGGAAATAAGAATTTAGGTAGTTTATTACGTTATGGGATTCTTAACCATATTTATGACCTTTAATCTCTTAGTAATCCTGAGAAGGCCAACAGGGATGTGATAAGGAGCAATACAGTAGTATCCCTATTAGGCTAGTTTGTACACTAGCATTAGATTTTCACAGAATTTGTCACAGTGTTTTCCTGAGAGCTGAAGAACCTACTTAGTTTCCTAACTTGTTAGTCCTTATATTCAACAAAATAAATGATTATGATAATAAACTGACATCTTTGTGCCCTATGTCATTTTTTAAAATTACTTTGTCATCTAGTAGGTCATAATAATGTTGACTATTTGATAAGACTTGTGAAATGTTCATTTGGAGAACCATTCCATAACATATTTTCATAAAGGAAACAGTGAATTAAAAGATTCTACTGAGTTATCCCAGGATATTTTAGTCCAATATTACAACTGTAGGAAACAGAAGCTGTGAAGACTTTACCAGCTCTCTTGATATCAAATTCAGAACAAAAAATTGAAATCTTGTAGTTAAAAAGTAATTTGAATCTTGACTAATTAGTTTTTTTTAATTTATTTTAAAAATTCTTGACAAATACAATGTTTTTCAGTACTAATCTTGGTACTGTATTCTTGGTATGTCTCCTTTAACTCCATAACAGAATAAATTGTTTGTTGCATGGAAGTTAAAATGTGCTGGCCCACACTTCTTTTACAAATGGGAAAAGGAATAAAGGCAGTAGAGTGTGAAACTTGTTCTCTGTAAGTAGAAAATCAAACTTCAAACTTAAAAAAAGAAAGTGGGTTAAATATTTTTTTCTTATAGCTGACCATTCAAGGCTATTTATAGGGTTTGGATGGCCCGATTTCATTATTTTCTACTGCAGTATCAACGTGCAAAATCCTTGCTGACAAAGAGTATCAGCCTTACTTTAGAAAATCACTTAGATTTTAAACAAGTTGTCTTTTTTACCTAGAAAATAATATCATAAAGCACGATGAGCTAGGTTGCGCAAATACTTTTCTCTATAGTGAATAGAATGATGTTAGAATCCATAAAGTCTGAATATCTAACTTTGTTTTTGTAATCTGAGGTGTTTGATGAGGTCAGTTAAAGCCACGGAAAAACCTAAAAGCAAAGATCAGCTTTGGAACAAATGATTAAATAGAAACACAGTTTTCAATTGGAGAATCTTATATCATCATCCTTCCTCCATTGTCTTAAATTCCCTGTCACAAACACTGTGTATCAGCCTGATTCTCACTCTTCTAGCAGAGAGCAACTGACTGTATGTCTCTGAAACTAAATTTCATTTGTTTTGTGTAATAATATTTTTTTTTCTTCTTCTCCAGTTGGATTTATGTTATAAAATTCAAAATCAGATGATTTTGCAAGAAAGTCCTCGGCTTCTTGCAGTGGAAAATAAATAGTTTTGAATTAAGCTAAGTTGAATAAATAAATCTTTTTAAAACGACAAAATATCATATGTATGTGTTTATCCAGAGTTACTATATGTAAACCCTTTAAAGTAAATTGATGAGTGATCGTTTCCTTACATGAGTGTGCAATGGTCTGGAATTTTCTAATTGTACTTATTTGTCTTGTTCAACAAAATATATGTTATCTTCTCAATTTTCTTCTTCCTCATAGGATTCAAAATGGGTTGAAGAGAAGCAGTTGCTAATCAGAACAAATCAGGAGTTACTAGAGAAGGTATATGTTCAGAGTTTAGCAATTTTTTTTTTTTTTGGCAATTTCTGTGCTTTATCATAAAATGAATGGCAAAAGGAAATGAATTTACATAATATGGGGTCATCAACATAAAAATTGCATTCTTTATTTTTCTCCAGAAACAGAAATTCTGATTTTCTCCAATTAAAGTGCTAATATACTTATGTATTCTTTGGGAATGGAAACTGCACTTTATTGTGGTACTACTACTATGTTGTATAGCCAGTGTGTCTGATCATTCAAGTTTCTGCCAAAACATAACCATGGTAATATGAAATTTTATCAGTTACGCAAAGATTCTTATTGCCAGGACCATTCAAACTAAAATTCCAAAATTATCTGCTCACTTCAGCAGTTTTTTCACATTAAATAATATTAATTCATTGTAGACTATTATACCTTTTATTGTCTGAAATATTCAAAGCTAAACATCCTCATTGGTCTTTACTAATGTAGGTAGAAAAGTTAGCTGATACTTAGAATGTAACAATTATTTTTGTTCTTTGTAAATGTAGAACAATATTAACATAATAGGAACAAGATAAAGTGCATGAATGAAAGCAACTACAGCTGGACTTGATTTGTCCAGACACATACATGGCTATTCTAAGTAACTGCACCATCACTGTCTGCTAGATCATATTCAGGTGCTCCTCTTCAGTCCAGTTTCACTAACTAAAAAGACCACACAATTAAACCAGCCAGTAGACCAAAGGTATTAGTTGACATAATGAGGGTCAATTTTGAATTTCTGTTTTATCACTGTTAGTGTCCCAAAGCAGAAATCTGGAAAATTAAAAATTAATCATTAAAAAACCCTCCATTATTCTCCATTATATGTTGTTTTCACAAAGATAAGCAGAACAGTCTGTCCAAAGTTAAACAGTTTTATTCACCTGATTTTAAAAGTAAGCTTGCATTTCCTCACTTGTTTAGATGTAATGTTCATACAGCTTTTCATACTGGCTTCCAAATTACTGTTCTGCTTGTTCTTATAAATACTTTCAGATGTGATGTTTCTTCTTTATGCCCAAGGCAAGGTCCAACATCTAATGAGAAACTCAAGTAACAGTTTTGCCTGAAACTCTGACCAATAACTCAGTATAATTCCCTTTCTGTTATTTACAGGATGTTAGATGTTGTGTTTTTCTCATAGATTTACAGAATGGAACAAGAAGAGCAGCAGCTGAAGAACGAGATGCAAGATGCAAAAGACCAGAATGAGCTGTTAGAATTCAGAGTGCTAGAGCTTGAAGTAAGAGATTCTCTCTGTTGCAAACTCTCAAATGGAGCAGAAATTATGTTTGAACCCAAGCTGAAATTCCTGTAAAGATTACTGATGTCTGGTGCATGTTTAAGGGAAGTCACTTAGGTATATATTTTTTAAATGTTGTATCTTGGGATAATGAGATTGATACCACTGCCTTAATATGTTTTGGAGAGAGTACTCACTCGTGTTTATAAAGATGTAATATAGCTAATATATATTGCATATAGTTTGTTTTACATCTAATAAAATATTTTGTTTTGCAATATTTTGCCTTTTTTATTTGTTTCATTTCCATAACTACTCCTTTCCTGCATGTGAAATCACTTGGTATGTATACTACAGCCTCGTTTGGCATTGCTTCAATTAACACACCTTCTCACATCTTGCATGCAGTGAATTCTAAAGATCTGACACATCCATCACATCAATGTATAATTGCTTTTAATTACACTGATTTAAGATTGACAGCAGTAGTATGAAGTAAAACGGTATCAAAAGAACAAAGTAGTTTTTAAATAGTTTTTCTTACCTGAAATATATTTTCTGATGGTATAAGATGCTCATGGGATGAAAATAATTTTCACCACTCAGAAGAAGGAAAATAAACCTCTAAGAAAGTCAGCGTTAGAGGTGAGGCACGAGTACAATTTGTGGAAGTGGGAAGTTGCCCATAGCAAACTTCTTTAACAAATTCTGTGAAATAACTGTGAAATTATTGTCATGAATAATAATAAGTAATAATAATAAGTTTGAACACGTAGCCTCTGATCACAGTAGAAAACAATGGTCCTCGTTGCCTTGTAAACGATACCCATGTAAAATTCAGTGTGAGTAAACAGCTTGTGTGAGATGCAGTTGCACAGTCATACTGTCTGATAACATGTAGTTCAATATCAGAGATCATCAGCCGTCTGAACACCATCTTGAATAAACTCCCGGAACTCTCTCAGAGTCACTTATCCATAATTTTCATCACCCAGCACGTTTCACCAAAAATCCTGGCATGTGTAACTTTTCTGATAAAGATGAAAACGTCATGTCATCCTGTTGTGTGGACATTTCTCTTTTTCTTTTGCCTTTGATATTTCTTAATCTATTTTTAATCATTTATTTTATCAGCCATATATCATAGTATATTATATTTAAAATTAAGAATTTACGTTATTAGAATTTCAGTACGTGTTCTGGAAAATAAAAGTACTTTCTAATATATACTCTTTATATTTTATTAAGCAACTGTAGATTAAAATGCTGAACAACTGTAGATTAAAATCCTGAACAATTCAGCTTTCAGAATTTCAGTTACCTTAGAATCTGCTCATTAAAATGTAAGTGTTCTTAGAAGTACAGCAGTCTGAAAAAATGTCCTTGAAAGGAAAATTGCTTCAAAACATTCTTCAGGAAAGTATTTTCCACATACAAAAATCACTTGAAAAGTAGTTCAGTTTAAATGGTCTAGTTTCATTATCTGCCAAATATTTAAGGACTTACTTCACAGGATAACAAGGGGAGTATTTTTGTATGATTGCAGTAAATGACATTTTTCCTTTGTGGGCAAGCATTTAGACACAAACGTGATTGACAACGTGAATGCTTTAGTAAAGTCATGAACACTTCTCATAACCAGAACATTTTTTTCAGAACACCTAAACTGTGTCAGATAAAAATTACATAAATGTAGAAAGCAGAACCAGTTCTACATAATTTAACACAAGCAAATCCAGGTGAGTTTAGTGTAATAGCAAGTCACTAATTAAAAAAAAAAAAATCTAAATTGGTAATTGAATTTGGAAAAGAATTAAGCTTCTGTTTTGTCTCTGAATAGCTAGGTCACTTAAATCCATTTCAAAATTATGCTGCTAATAGAAAAATTATTTAAAATAGTGATTATGCGATGAAAAAAATATACAAAATGAAGAGATATTTTTCCCTCCATATTGTTGGTCCTAGCTTGACTAGTCAATGAACAAGAGCTGCTGTATTTTGTAACCCGCTTAAGTGAATGGGCGCTTCCCACTTGTGATTACCAATTAAAGCACTTCCTTTGTGGTTTAGAAATCAGGTAATGCTTGAACAGAACTTATTAAATTTGCAGCAACTCTCTTTCATTAAAACTGAAACTGAAGGCAATGTTGGCAATGCCTCTTCTTGTTAGGAGAGGAAATCCAGTTTTTCTCGCTTGGGTTCCCATGGCCATAGTGAGCTTGCTCATTGTGCATCCTAGTGCCTTGATTTGCAGTCTTGTTCCAGTCATTCCCAGAAATATCTTGAAATTTCACTTAAGTAAGGTCTTATCTGTTGTTTTATTCTCTTTTTGTCTTCTGAAGAAATAATAGGTTGATATTTTGAAGAAACACATGAAAATCAAGTAGATGGGTTGGATGAGAATTTATAATTTTTTACTTTTGGCATAAAGGCATATTGCAACATCTGGGATTGTGCAGTGAATAAGACAGGATTTTACATGTTCTAATCCAAAGGATAACTGTAGAATAGAGTAGATATAGAGCTTTAATTTTTTTTAGATGGAATACATAACCATATTACTTGGTGACAGAGTTTACATTTTTTCCTGCAGTTTCTTATTGCTAAATGATCACTTTTTTTCTTGAAAGAGAACAATAGTTATATAAGACCGTAACTGGAATTAATTATTGCAATAGCTACAATTGCTCCAGTCAGTAATTTGGGCAACATAAAAGAGTTTCTTCTACTGAAGTGTAGGTATTTGTTTTGCAAACTCTTTGTGTACATAGAATCAACTGGAACTCAAAATTATTTTGTGTGCTTAGCTAAGCCCAAAGTCTTTCAAGTATGGTGAACACAGGAGGAAATTCCACAAATTTGGAATATGAAAAGAAATCTGTGTTTTTAATGTACAAATCTTTTTTTTTTTTTTTTTTTTTTTTTTTTTTTTTTAAATGGGAGATATGTGTTAACCACGCATCTTGTTTTTAAATAAAATCTTTCCTCAGGAGAGAGAACGAAGGTCGCCAGCGTTTAATCTTCACTTAACCACCTTCCCTGAAAACAATGGAAGCGCGCTGCAACTGTTCTGTCAGCATGAAGGAATAAAGGTATATGTTGGGCATTAGGAACTGTTGGATGGCCGGAATGAAGAACTTAATATTCAAATGATTGGTTTTCCATTATTATTATCTTGCTGCAGGGAAGAAAATCTGAAAAATAAGTATAGTAAGAAAATACATTTTCAACTTGGTAAAGGGCTTCATAAGAATACGTTGTGGTCATTTGTAAGGCTTTTGTAAATGAAAATGAAGACTGGTCAGTTTACAAGCTCTTTAACAGAAGGCTGGTTTCTGTTCAGTCCCTTAATAAGTGTAATACTATCAGTAGAGGAAATCAACTGAGAGTGTAGGCTGTGTAGTTCTCTCTCTCTCATATATATGTATATACAGGGAACTGAATCTTTACAAAAAAATTTAAAAGTCACTCTAGTCATGTCCCTAAATCACATTGACTGTCATTAACCTAACATATAGTCACAGACGAGTTTTGGTTGGAAGCGACTATAAAGTTCTTCGTGTTCCAACCACCAAGCATATCACCTTTCAAATAGGGCCTCCAGAGGATGCCAGATCTGCTGTTAACGTATCTGTTATTCTAATTTGCATGTTGACTGTAGCTGGTACAGGATTCATTTTTAACTATTGTCTTCTGTTGCATGAAAGGTTTTTCTTTCTTTCTTATTATTTTTATTACTTTTTTTTTCTTTCAATTCTTTCAATTTATTTGCCTGGAAGCAGAGATGGTCAACTCATATGGGCATATTAAATTGTTTGCTTTTAAATGTTTTCAGTTTCAGAGTGATAGAAAATCTGCTTTGAGTTTTAAATATTTCTTTTTGCTTCTTTGTGGAAATTAACTAGAATGAGAATTTTGGGTTTAACAGGGGCTAAGAACTGGCATGTCTTACTGAATTCCAAATCCTCACCAGTGAAGGATCAGCTACAGTTTCTGTTCAACATTGTCATCATGATTCTGCTGATCAGAATCATTAGCTTTGACTTCAGTTCAGTCCAAATACAAGAGTATTTTAAGCTCTGCTCCATTCTAAAATTACTGATGTGCGTTGTTTAGTAGCTGCTGTGGCATGTAGATGCAATGCTGCAGTGTTGAGGTGGATGGCAAGAGAGGAAGTGTACTTCCCATGATAGACAAATGCAATACATGATTCCTTATTGGAGCCAGAGTATTCTATTTTATACAGACTCTCTTCCACAGCTGTGTCTGATTTTCAGGCAATCTTTCAATTCCTTATTAAACCTTACTCACTGGAGTCTATTGGATGTGGAACAGTGAGCAAATATATTCTGATATAGTTATGTACTTTGCAAGCACAGCTAATTTCACTTCAAAGAAATTGGAAGATCACTCATCCTGACTTCTTGTACCATGCAACTGCATAGCACACAGATGGAAACCAGCATGTAACATGCTGTAAGTAATGAAACTAATGAGCCAAGGTACAGCCATTGGGGAATGCTGATCTCTGCTAAGAAGTGCTGAATATGAGAAGTTGAGGGTGCCAGCATTATAATGGCTGTCTTTTTATGTGTGTATATTAAACATTTTTGGACTAACATCAGCCGTTCTGTACTCATCCAATCAAGCTTTCTTACCTTCAAAAAGCACAACTGCATACAAGCAGTCAAAGGAATTATCCCTGCTCCACAATAATCTGTGGGCCAAACTTGAAATCATTCTAGTATGTGTTGTTATCACAGGTTAAGCAGTTCCAGGAACCTTTCCAGTAACTTTTTACAGTAGAAAATAGAGTTCTGCTGCCTAGGAATGGTCCTTGGCACTTTTAAATCTCATCATCTGTGGATGTATTCCTCCTCTTTTTTTTTGTATCAGTGAAGTGTTTGCCTTGGTTGCAGTGACTGGTTGCTGTTCTCAGTGGATACAGGGGTGACTGGTAGAGAAACGTGGTTTTCTACTCAGAGAGGTTGTGAGTTAGCAGTTTTTGCAGGAGCACATTTAGCCCTCTGTGCACATTCCCCTCTGCCATGAAAATGCGGATCTGGAACTCTTCTGTTTTGCTCAAGCAGAGAAAAAAACAACAACATACCTTCTTAGTTATTATTTTACTGTCCCTTTAATTTCTATGGCCTGATGTGCTTCACACTCCACACCAAACTGTGAGGGGGAAAAATAAAGGTACTTTATGCCTGTTTATCATTTTTGTTCATTCATTGGTGTACATCAGCAGGATGCACAGATCTCAGGGTAGCTTGCTGTATTCAAGTGATATTTGACTTTGTTTCTGAAATTATCAGTAACGCTTTTGTAGTTACAATGCAAAACTCACGTTTAACTTATTGGCATTTCAAGACTCTGCATGCAAAGGTGCCTAAAATGCAGCATGTAAAACTGTTTCTCACCTTCTTTATAAAAAATAGTATTGAACATCTTTTTCAGGATGTGAATATATCAGAACTCATGAAGAAACTAGATATTCTTGGAGATAATGGGGTAATGATTTTTAATTTTAAATGTAATACTAGCTTTATTGTTGTTTTCAAGCAGCTGGGTTTTTTTTCCACTGCACAGAATAACACATAAGAAAATGTAGAGTGATTTTTATATGTCTCTACTTGTATAAAAAATGTGAATCATCAGACACTACTTATACAAAAGATTTCAGATAAATTGAAGTTAAAGTGTATTTCCTCAAGACAGGATTTGATCATGGCTGAATGACTTGAAAGAAAGGACTCTGTAGTAGGTGCAAGAATGAGGCATAAAGCAGCCTAGGGGAGAAAATCAAGGGAGTCAAAGCCAGAACCAGTTTGTCATATTTATTGTACTAATTTTAAGTTCCGGATCTATTTTTTTATGCTGCAAATTGTGTGGCTATTTCTATAGGAGTTGCTCTTTTATATGCCTTTAAGGAATAGAGGCGTGGCTCTGAACTGGACTTGATGGAACCTTCACTGCTGTATAGCTATATATATAATATAGCAAACTGCTATTTTGTATGGCTAGAAAAAAAAATGTCAAAATCCTTGACAAAAACAACTTGGTTCTCATGAAATAATAAACAGATGCAAAAGAACTGTTGAATGATATCTTGAATTAGAGCAGAGATTAAGCACTTTTCTAAATTTTCAGTCATTACACTTTTTCTGAACGCGTTTATAAAGTACTAAATGTAACTTGTTTACTTTGATTCTCTACATTGCAGTTAAAATTCATCACTTGTATTGAAGAATGGATTTCCAATCCAATTTAAAATGCATTTTTTTGTATTTTAGAATTTGAGAAATGAAGAACAGGTTGCAATAATCCAAGCTGGGACTGTACTTTCTCTCTGTGAAAAGGTAGAACTCAGTAAAAATTTTTGTCTGCCTAAAAGACCAACCATGTCTGCTGAGATCTCATGTAGCTTTGTCAGAGAAGCATGATTTTTCTGTCAAAGGGATCTGGACAGGAGCATATATTCATCCTTACATGATTTTATTGGGATTGTGATGTTTTAAGGTATAATCTAACGTTCAAACGAGATCAATTTAAAAAATAAAAACTTTCTCTGGAGATATGTCTTAGAATAAGTTACTAAAAAGCCTCTGGACAAGAGCAGCTTCATTCTGAGAAAAGCCAACATTCTCCAGGGGACTCTCCTGGGCTGTTGCAATGTTCTCTCTAAATCACACTATTAGTCCACTTTGGCCCACTTCTATGCATGACGGAGAAGCCTGAATAGCCCATGGTCCTTTGATCTGTATAGTGGGCGAAAATAACAAAAAAGCGCAAGTCACTCAACGACTACTTCTCCAGTTACAGACTGAACATAATCTACATACGAGTAATGATGACACTTAAAATGAACTAAGAATAACTTACCTTCTTGTTTTTTTTTACTGAAGGAACTTCACCCCTTCCTTTCATAGTTACTACAAAATCTTTCCTATGCTTTTAAAATTCATAAACAACAGTTTAAAATTGAAATCCGAGCATTTTGTTGAATAAGTTATCACTGCTTTAACTGACATTATTTTATTAATCTATTTATCTTAGTATCTCAACTTAGGTAATCTAAATAAAGCAATTTAATAATTATTAACTTAAGTGAGTAATTAGTATAAGCAAAAAAATAATAATGAGGAAGACGGCTAAAAGAGCTTTTGACTGTACTATAGCATGAAAAACATGAGATAATGTTCACTGCCCTTTAAATTCAGTAAGTGGGAGAAGGCTGATTAGGAAAGATAAGATATGGCCAGCCTTTAGGGTGGGACTGACTTATCATTACTTAATTAAATGAGTCCTTGCATAAAAACTGTCACTCGAATTAGTCAACTTTTTAACTGGTGTCAGTGGTGCAGCTTAGAAAATTCACTCTTATCTGTAAGTTATTTCCAGTAGCAATAGATCACAGCACTAGTTTTGTAAGCAGAAGTAATTCTTCAAATTAATAGAAACATAAAATTAATGGCAGTAAAAGTTGTGCTTAAATTTCATTTCAAGTAAAATAGTGAAGTTTTTTTGCTTTGTTTTTGTTTGGTTGGTTTTGTTCATTTGTGGGGTTTATACGGCCATTTCCTAGTTTGCATTAAAGGATTTTTATGGTCATTTTACCATAGAATCCAATTTTTATAGAAACTCAACACTCATTCAGAAAGTTGGAGTCTTTCATTTTATCTTTCCTAGGCAAATAGACTACATTAAATGAATGAAATAAAAATTGTTCATCTTTGGACTTTTCTATAGTTTAATTCAGAGCGTCACAGTAACCTAATAAGCACCACCTGGCAGGCAGTTTAATGAAAAGAATACTCTGAGAACCATGAAACTTTTTTTCCTTTTCCTGGTGGGTACTTGAGGTACAATCTAATCAAATAACTCCGTAAGAAAGCACTATCCATATCCAAAATTTACCAAGACAAGGAAGACAAGGGATAGGAGAAAATAGTCCTATGCTGTCTTCAAAGTAAGAAACACAATACCACACATTTTCTTAAAATTCTATGTTTTACAGCACACATTGGGGGAGATAAAATGCAAAGTAAAATACAAAATCTGATAAACAAGACTAGATTATTGCTTTAACATAAGTCCTATTGGATGCATTGACAATTTAGGTTAGAAGAAATCCAAAATAAATCTATGCCTCTTCTCTTGTAATGTAACTATCTCAGATGTCTTGCTATGTGAGGGACAGATCCTTAGTTATGAGAACCTATCATATGTAATCACCTTATAATGATACAGCAAAGGCATTACAGACATAGATATGCTAGTTACATTCATGTGTGCTAGTTATTCACGCTTAATGTTTATTTCAATCAAATCTATCATACTCAGCCATTAGCAGTAATTTTTTTGGAAATCAAGCAAAGAAGGTTTCTGGGTACTGCTGGAACATTACCAGAAGCTTGCTTTGAATGCTACAACTGATTATGACTCATAAATACTTGCTTGTCCTTTTGTGCCCCTTGGCTCCAGAATGACTTGTATGAGAAGAACTGAATCAAAATTTAGTTCTGCATGTCACCCATAGGTTCAAAAAATTAGACCTCTAATTCTTGCAAACAACCTTTCATTTGCACCTATTGAGGGTTACTGTGAGAAATAATGAGTACGTTCAATTTCTACTGATTTCAAGGGTTCCAAATGCTCACTGTCTTGCAGAATCCTTTATCAGTGGTGCAGTTTTGTTTAGCAATATCTTCCGTCCATCACCTTCAAAATGAAGAACACAAAGATTATGATGAGAACTGAATATGAGGTTCCTGGTCATTTCTTTCAGCTTTGTATTCTAAGACAAACATACTAAATAGGTAAAACAAGACTCATTTTTTTATCCATCAAACTCTTGAATAGTGGAAGATCCAAAAGCATCAGTTCATTAACTCACATTTTGCTTATTCGTAAAGCAAAATCCTAAATTTAAAAAGTTGATGTGTAATTCTTATTCAAAGAATTAAACTAAGTAGGAGCAATCTAGTAAAGTCATAATTATTCATCATCAGTGGCAAAGCTGTGGTTGGACTTAATTGGAACTGGCCCTTGGAAAAGAAGCATTAATCTAAACTGTGCTCTCTGTCCTTATTGTAGACCAATTAAAAAGAAAATAAATGAATACACACAGAGCATTCCTACTCATTCTGATAAATTCTGAATATAATATAGTCCTGATGATTGTTAATTAAGTAATTAAGCAAGTACCTTCTATATCTGCACTTAGCTTTTACGATATGTAAAATCTTCATCCTCTTTTTTTTTTTTTTTTTTTTTTTGCTTATCCCCACAATAAGGGTTTTGTGAGAGCAACAATGTTAACTTCTGTGTTTCCATTTTATTATTTCTTCCACATTACTGATGTTTTAGAAGTGTACCTATTATCAGTAAAGTATCAACTGCAAAATAAAGGCTCAAGCTTGCCACTTTGTCTTTTGTTTGTATTGTCTTCTGGGAAAGTGCAGAGCTAATGCCATCATAATGTTTTTACAAATCAAGACAAGCACTGATATATTAAGCTGGGAAAAATCAGGTTGATTTTACATTGTTCACCAAAATCAATGTTGAATTTTACAGGAGGAAGGAGTCTCTAGTTGTTAGAAAATAATCTCCACATTACTTTTGACTATGTTTCTACAGTCTTCCATTCTGCTTGCTTTCACAACCTGCTTAGTCATGCATTACTTCAAGTGAATAGATTAATGTGTCTGAAGTGTATGCCTGGGAACTTTGGGAACAAACTTGGAGAATGTTTGGTGCAAATTTTTCAAAAGCTCTGTTTTTTCACTTCTCATTTTCTCCTTTTTATATTGCTGTGTTCATGTAGTGGTTAAAACAGATAGAGGGAACAGAAGCTGCGCTGACACAGAAGATGTTAGACCTGGAGAATGAGAAGGTAAGGAAAGAACACCAAAAACGTAATTCATTTGGTTAAACTCATTTCAAAAGCGAGTTTAAACTTCACCACAGGTTGCTTTGCTGCCTTTCTCTGCTTTACTGAGATTGTTTCATGGTAGAATTTGCAAGAGGTATCCAGAACTGTTTCTTGCTTGTATTCTTTGGAGCGAGATGGAAGTGTCAAAGGCAATCTGGAGCAAAAATACTAAAATAGACACAAAATAGTACACAAAGGTATAACCTTAAAGAGCAGATTAACTGAACAGTGTGAAATTGTGCTTTCTCTTTGCATTAATTTGTCTGGCAATAACATCTTTTTAATCATGCTAGAAGAATTGTCAAGAATATTTCTTTGCTCTCTGATATTCAGTCTCTGGACAAATTGTAAAGACCTTCTTTTACTCTAGATTGACAACCTTACCTTTTCACATGTTAAGCAAAGAGTTTTGAAATATTTGCTTCTTTTTATTGGTTTGCCATACCTGCTGTGCTTTTCATCTTCAAATAGCTTTACAAAAACAATTTAATCCTCACCATCTTTTCCAGGTAGATAGTAATCAACATTACATGCATCTTAGAGAATAGGAAACAGAGGCACAGAGGTTAAGTGATTTACCCAGAGCCACTGAAGAAGTGTACAAAAAGAGAAGTGCTCAGACTGTGTTGAGCATAGCCTATCATGTTGGCTTTATTTCAATATAAGTATCCTTCCCACATTTAGCATTTCTATTTTTAATTCATTATGGAAAAATGGGAAAGTTTTAGAGAGGCAAAGTGCCCAGAAATATTAGGTTTCTTTATAAATAAGGAATTGGAAAATGACGATTTCTTTCTAACTTAGTTTATCTTCCCATTTAATGTCTGTATTGCTTTTAGATGTTGCTCTCTGATTGTTAAAATAGCAATCTGAAAGTCTTAATTACTGATGGTCTCTAAAAACTGAATTGTGAAATGAGTTTAGAAACAACATTCTATCGTGCCACTGGTACAGAAGTCCTTGGAGCTCATGTAAAGTATTCAAGATCTCACTCTTGGTCTCTCTCTCTTGCTTTCTTGGCTATCTTTTACAATGGCTTTTGAAGAGGTAATATGACCCAGAGCAGCTGTGCTGCTATTCTGGGATCTACTGGTAGCTTGATTTTCTCTGTAGTCTTGGGCAAGTCAGTTGACTCTACTGTGAGCCACTTGTAAGCAGCTTCAGACCAGGCCTGTACTTTACTTTGCTTTACACATTACATACTCTACAACAGCCATGGAGCTGTTGCCATAAGCTATCTAAGAAAATAATGTCACCTGGGCAGTTGAGCTGGGATTCGATATAGTATCTAATACCATATTACATTCTTCAGAATGATGTCGGGAAACAGGTTCTGCAGCACCTGCAAGAGACCCCTGTCTTTCTAGACGGATCACAGATCCTGTCAAGCATTAATTTGTGGATCAGGAAAGATTTCTTTTAAACCAGATGTTTGCAGTGAGAGTTTGCCATCAGTATTGTTCACAGCTATGCAAATTTTACACTGGCATACGCATGTCATGTGCAATTCCAACAGTTTTTAAATGTTTGAAGGTAAAATTTGACCAAGTAGTTTACTGGGGGATAATCCTCAATATTTTTTTGTATTGTCAACATATATATAGTTTGCAAGCAAGTCCTTCTGTTATATTTGGAAATGGTCGTAGTACTAAAATAAATTGATAGATGTAACAAGACTGGAGACATTTGCTTTATATACTAATAAAAGCTAGAACAAACATATTAAGATTCCTGTATAAACAAATTGTGATTTATTCTATGTATTACATGCTATATGTATGTCTGCATGGATTGCAAGTGTTTGTTGAGTAGAATCAAAATTTATGATACTAAATTTGATCAAAAGGCCTTTGCTTTCTACCTAGAGAGGAAAATTAATAAAATCTACTATTTTATGTTCTACTTACTATCACTGAAGTACTCTAGAGGCATGTTTTTCTTGTAGTTTGACTATTCTTCAAACTGTTTAAATGTTCACAAAATCATCCTCTCAGATTCTGAGTTTCACTGAAATATCAGCTATAAGTTATTAATTCTGTGGAAGTTAGTTCATTTGATTTTAAATATATACAAATCCTTGGCATGTCAAAAACTTCTTCAGCTCTGCAGCTATAGTCACTTAATCTCTCTGGGCATCACATTGCCCATTTTGAATTGGCTTCCCACCTCTACAAGCTGAAAACTGAATTTGTATTCCTGTTTCATTAACATGTCATGCATTATTGCTGCAAGATCTAGCTCGGGCCATGCACCTTCCGATATTCTTCCTGGAAGAGGCTAAGCAACACAGATTTTGGGTTGTCTCATGATTTCCTTGAGGGTCATACTGGATATTTTCAGAAAACCATTCAAGTGCCCTCACTGCTGTTATCACCACCCCTTCCTTGACCTATTTGTTGCACATAATTGACACTGGATCCATGCATGCACATTTGCATCCACCTCCCTACCTTTGGTTGCAACAGATCAAGGAAGCATTGTACACTGATGTAGAGGTCTGTACTATTGGGTACAACTTGTTGATAGCGTGCACATATTTTAAGTGCCTCTGTTGTAAATTTGATATCTAAATATCCTTCTGATGAATGTTGTCACTGACTACGGCTTTTCTTTTACTTTCAAGCGGAGAGTTTACATGAAAATGATGGCATTTATGATTCTTCATGAATTAAGATAAAGTACAAACACTTCCTTGCTTTTATTGTTTCTTAGGACCTGTTCAGTAAACAGAAGGGTTATTTAGAGGAAGAACTCGACTACAGAAAACAAGCGCTGGACCAGGCATACATGGTAGGAAAAGAACAGTCATTCAATTTTCATGTTTGAACACATTTGGTAAAATATTTTTTTTTCTTTTCATTTTAAATAGAGTTCTCTTTTAATTTACCTAGTGTTCTACCAGTCTGGGAAATCAAGTGCTACGTAAATGAGGACTTAGGAAAGGAATTGTAGTATTTAGACGTGTCATGTTTTTTTGTTTTGTTGTTGTTGTTGTTTATAAATTCTAAAATGCATTAAATTGTTGTTAGTATATCTAGAATGGTAAGAGCTGGTCTGTCTGTGCATGAAACTATCCTGATAAAATATACCAGAAATAACTGTAGAACTCCTCCAGTATTACTTTTCCCTAAGCATTTGTGAGTATTGCTGGGAATGCTTATTCTTCCTATGTCCTTTCTTGCTGCGCTGTGCTGTCCTACCTAACATTACTTTTCCTAGTTTTCAAGTGGAATGCTACAACCTTGCCTTTTCTCAGGCTATGCAACACAAAATGAAGCCTTGGGAATGATCTAGGAATTGACAAAACCGCACACTTAACTTTCTTAGTAGTGAGACTTCAGGAAATCAAAATATAATGACACGAAGAACTGTTTATATATCATAAATATTTCCTATGGGGAAAATACTTTCAGGAAAGGAGCAAGGTCTCGTGCTCAGAGCAGATGACAGATGGAAGCAAGCAGGCTCTATTTCTAGCACCGTGACCTTGAACAAGCCATTTAACCTCTCTGTGCTGCTGCTTATGCATCACTAATATGGATAGAATTACCTACCTTAAAAAGGTGTTAAGAGGGCTAAAGGGATGTTGTCAGATGTTTTTGAACTAAATAGCATTCTATATTGTTTTGTAGAGGGAAATATAGAAATATGCTAATCACAGGAGCAAGAGAAATACTGTCATGATTCCTTTCTTTCTTTCCTCTTGGGAATATGGTTCTCCAGACAGGTTCTCCTGTGCTCTCTGCTTTGTCAAGTGCTTCAGTTTGAGTTGGTGTATTAGAATCTGATTAGCAGTCTGACAAAGAGTGAGAGATTGAGGAGATTAGTGAACCCTGCAGTGTTTCTCTCTTCGTTGCTTGCAGTCATAGGTAACAAAGGGAGTGAAGTCGATATTGAGCAGTGGATAGCAGGACAGTAAGGCCAGAGAGAAAAGGCACCACTATTTTTGTTGTTCACAGCTTTTTTTCTGTATGCTACGGGCTTTTCATTCTGTAGAGTGACTTAGCAACTCAGTCGCAACAGAAGGGAAACTTTCAGTTTTCGGTGATTTTGTAATTTTCGGTATCGGGGGTCTGGGTGTCTTGTCGCATATTAAAAGCAGACCTATCACCCAGGAAGAAATTAATCATTTAGTAGAATAGAAATCAGCCAGGTGTGTACTGGTGCTGGGTGGTTCTGTGCACTGTGTGTGGAATGCTCCTCACTGCTCATGGCTGCTGCTTTCTGTCCTGTTCCTGTCCCGTGTCTGTGTCCTTCCTCCCTCCTGCCCACGGCTGTGCTCGCTGGCCTTCTCCTCGAGCTGCGGGTGGGTTGTGTGCTTGCTGGGTTCAAACGGCAGCCTGTCTGTATGTGATTTGGGTTGCCTTAGAAAATCCAGGAGCTGGAAGCCACGCTGTATAATGCCCTGCAGCAGGACACGGGAAGGCGGGCGAGCGAATCGCTGACTGAAGCCCAGAGGGAGGATTTGCGGGCTGCTGTGGAGAAGGTGCGGCGGCAGATCCTGAGGCAGAGCCGTGAGTTTGACAGCCAGATCTTGCACGAGCGAATGGAGCTTCTTCAGCAGGCCCAGCAGGTAATCCCCGCTCTCTCTGCACCCTCCTGTCGGCGTTACTCTGTGGTGGCTGCCACTGCCCGTACAGCAGCATCTCACTGCAACTTGTCAAGTAGGGCTTAGTGTATACCTTGCACTGCTCCCTCATCAGGGAGATGGGCAGTGAGAGGACACTGTGGGCCTGGGCATGGTATGCACGCAGAATGAGCCACTGTCTCACCACAACGTCCTGTTGCACAGTCTGCTTCTTGTGCGTAGAACTACAGTCATCCACAGGATTCCATGGGGGGATTATTGCAAGTTTAAGGCTTATGTTAGGAAAGGCCAGAATGGAGGGAAACTTGTATGCCTTAACACTATGAAAAGTATTAACAAGCCTTCATTAACAAGCCTTAGCATTGGTTCAGAAATGCCTTGTCTCCTTCAGGACAAACACAACATAGATGGAGGGAAATTCCTGCCTTGTGGAAGTGTGGTAATTGTTTATTAAATAATCCTTTGCATGATGATGGGTCTTTCTGTTCAGATATTCATGGAGAGAAGAGAACCGCATGGCTTAGTGAGTTAATTATTCCAATAGGAATAATTCCTGTATGGCTCCTCATTATAGTAACATCTGGAAGATGCAGCCAGATGTTGTAGGTCTTGGAGACTGCCCTCTGGTTGCTCTGGCTGCTTTCTTTGCAAATCTGTAATCACGTATTCAAAACATACTACGCAAATGCATGCAGGACATTATTGCTATTTCAAGTACTGGTTACTGGGTTAGGAATTACATTTCAGTTTGGCTCAAGCTCTGTTTCAGTTTGCTTTGTAGATTAACACCGACTAGATTGGTATATTATATTAGTTCTAGCACTGTTGTGTTCATCTTCTCTCATCCTACAGTGATGAGAAATGCTGACAGTGTTTGAATTGAGCTCTCGCTTTCTAAAAGTCTTCTTTTTCTTACTCCCTCAGTATGTTCTCTTGGTTTGGGAGATGTAACACTGAGATCAGGAGGGTATGAGCAACACTTAAATCTTTGTTAATGAGTGTCCAATCAGTGAAGGTGTAAGAAGGCTGGAGAAAGTAGACACAAACTAGTTGTAAAAGTGTCAGAAAGAAAGAGTAGATTAAATCTATGAAATTTGATCAATTAAGATAGAGTCAGAAGTTATCTGCTTAATGTTATTATCATGGCTGAAATTATTGAGAATTAAGACAGAATTTTGATTATTTTTTTTTTCAGAACTAGTAAATACTGTTTCTCACTGACATTTAGTAGGAGTGAATGGAATTCTGTGTTGCCACTGATTAGTGAGTACAGCATCAGTCTTTTTACCTCTTGTAGTAGCTCTGAAAGTTAAAATAAATAAATAAATCTCTTTTTGGCTCTAAGCAATCACAAATCTATCTTTGCTCAGAGCCTTTGAAGAAATACCTTATACATCTGAGGAATACATTATTAATTGTATAAATCCCGTTTATCTCTCAGAGACACTTATTCAGTCAGGTGCTGCTGAAGCTCATGGCATTTCAGATTTTCTTTAGAGTTTGTCTGTTGCTGGATCTGACAGATGATAAGGTGTTTTTTTTCTGATATTTGCAAAAGTGAGCTTCAGAGGAGCAGATCACTCTTTCTGAACACTTCGTTCTAAGTTCTCTACATCTAAGTGATATAAAGTGTGAGATTTTTCCATCAGACTAGATACTATCTGGTCCTTTGTCCCTGTCTGGCATGTACTCTTTGAGGGACCATAATGGGCTAAGACCTTTCTGAAGTCCCACTGTACACCTGGGCAGAGCTCCTCTTTAAGCATGATATTGACAAATAGGTTTTACTAATAGGAGTAGATTTGTAGACCGAAACACTTACTTCCAAGGACACTACAGCTATACTAAGTGCATTTTAGATGTTTTCTTTGGGTTGTGTTGGGTTGTTAGTTTGGTCCCATGTATTGCTCACTGAAGATATGTTAGAACATACCTTCATTTCAGTCTGGTTTATGTATTTATGGATTGCTCCACAAATTAAAGTCAAACATGATGGATTATAGAATGGTTGGAGCTGGAAGGGACCTCAAAGATCATCTAGTTCCATCTGCTGCTGAGGGCAGGCTGCCCAGGGCCCCACCCAAACCAGCCTTGAATACCTCCAGGAACATCCACAACTTCTCTGAACAACGCATTCCAGCACTTTGCCACCTTTTCAGTGAAAATTTACCCCTGACATTCAGTGAAAATCTCCCGTCCTTTGGTTTAGAACCATTGTCCCTTATCCTATAATGGATGAGACTTCTCTTCTGCCTTAAAGCAAAATGGTAATGTAAGCATAGCCTCATTAGCCATGGATATTTATGTATCTGTCTCCAGACCCACATTATAGTGTGTCATTGGAATTTCGTGTTGTGCCCATCTCAACATACTTATGTTGCAGCCCTGCAGGACATGTTAAGCTAATTCTGCTGCCTAATAAGAAGCTAAGCATTTTAGTCATCTATTTTTAACCTCCTGTTGTTGACAGGAAAAATAACGTCAAAGATGGCAGTTAATTTCCCTAAAGTATGGAAAGCAAGCATATTGCATTTGAAATTCTTTACTCAGTTTCTTCTCAGTTGTTTTCTTCCTGAGGTTTGTATTTGTATGGGACCAGTGGTCAATGCTGTTAATCTAGTAGTTGTGTGCAAAAATGTACAGCTTAAAAAGACAACAGAAAAATAAACAAAAAGCCATAGTATAGAACAGTAGTGTTACAGAGCTAATCCTCACAGGACTAAATGTGTCTGCCATAGCTGGTGGCAGAAGCTGAAATGCTACAAAAAAGAGAGCACCTTGGAGTTGTCAGAGTCTTCATATAAGAATGAAGCTGTTCTAAATGTGCTAAATATATTTAGATGCTACATTAAATGAGTGTCCTCTTTTCTTGATGAATTTATGGATACCAGAGGTTTTGTGGACACAGGGTTGTTAGCAAGCACCAACTACACTGTATTCTGGCAAAAATGTAGTCAAGACTTGTTCACATTTATGCACTTTACAGTGCTTTTGCTGTATGTACCATTCTTTATCTCCTGAAATGGAGGATAAGGAGAATGACATGGCAGCATGATGGGCCTGCTGGTTTTACAAAGAAAGGCAAAGGTTTTTTTTCTGGAGAATATACTGTCTGAAAAGGATGCAGACATGCATGAATAAAAATTGTCCAAAGTGAGCCTGTGCTGCTTTATGTGTGCTCATTTGTGTAGGTATGAAGCCCTAGTTTTTAGTCCCTGTGTTTAAACGTTTGAATGCAATAAACATGTTTTAGGATGTTAAGCCCTGTTTTGCTTTGGAAGCTCTGTTCATCTTGTGCCTGTTTAGCCTCACATTATGATTATTAGTGTATAAATAAAATCATTCATGTGTATCCAATATGCATGAAGGAAACCAGGCTTCCGTGGAACCAAATCAGACAAACGCTGATTAGATCTGCTTGCTAAGACATACAAACTTTTACTAACTCAGAGAGCAACATGCAGATCTGGGGGACAGACCTGTGGCTGAAGCATAATGACAGTATTCCTTTCAAGTCATTGATGGTGTTTTGATCATCCCCTCTGTTTGTGAGAGGCAAGATATGTTAATTAAAAATCTGTCACAAGCAGCTTGTGCTATTTGCTCCTAGCCATAGGGTGCATGCTGCTCCACTGCTGTTCCTGTATTTGTTATATTGTATGCTATAGTCTTTTTATGAGCTTTTGTAAGCCAGTTTATTTCTAACAGGACTTCTTTTAAAATTAACATGTATGCTTTAGCCTATGCAGAGCTGTGACTTTTGTGCACTTGAGAAATTATTAGGATTATTTCTAGCTGGTTTTGTGAGGGAGGGGATTTTACATAAATAACATGCTTCACAGTAAGCATTTTCTCAAAAGGAGAAAAATGTGGTGGTGTAGCTATAAAAAACCTCTCCTAGAAAAGATTACTTCAAGTAGAGCAGTACAATATATTTCTGAAGTAGTGATATCAACTTCTTAATCAAGCAAGCTCTGTTGACTTTTTTTTTTTTTAATTAAAAAAGTAAGAGCCACGTTGCTGGATCTCCTGAAAAAAAGCTTGTGTATTAGTTTCCTGATGAAATTAGTAAATTTTAAAGGTCAAATTTTGCTTTATTATTTATCATATAGTATCTTTATTCCAATTACTGGTTGTAGCTCATTTCTGCAGTAAGAAACTGTGGAAAGTGATGAGAGCCAAGTTCTAAATCAGGATAGATTAAATTACATTTTACTGTTGGCTGTCGTACATCAGGAAAATATATAATAGAATCAGAATTTATTCTTGATTTCATTTAAGTCATTTTAAGTACAAGAAACTAGAAAATCCTTGAAGAACACCAGATTGACACCACCTCCATTCCGAAAGTGTTTGCTGCCAATTAGAAAGGATGTGGGAGACAGATTTTATGAATGTAATCCAATAATTTACTAAGCTGAGGTGGGGAGAAGAGTCTAGTTTAGTTCTAAACTCAGTTTAGAATATTGCTGGGTGAAGCACATTTTCACAGAGTAATGGAAGTCGTCATTTCATTCCTCTGAAATGCTGAGGGCATCCAAATTCCAGCCCCAAATAGCATATAGCTGTAAATATTTTAACTGTGTTTTCTTGAAGCCTTTACTCCTATGACCAGGCAGAATTATTCATCAGTGATATAAACACAAAACACCACTTTGCACGTTTTACTGGAAGAAGGCACAGGACAAGAGTTCTATGAGAAGGCAAGAGACCTTACTGCTTATAAGTTAAGCATGGTGGATGCTACTCCACTGTGCGTTCTCCCTACTAACTCATAGGTAGAACAATTTTTCCATACTATCTTGTAGTACGTGGGAGGGAACACCTTGTTCACAAATGCATAGGATAGAATGTAACTGTGTCCATATGACTCTATTAGCACAGCTATTCAGAATACGTATTTGTTGTTATTTTGTTTTGCTTTAGGGTTTTCTCTGAAACCCATCTTTTAATAACATTAATTTGTTGAAATATCAATTGCCTGT